GGAGGCCATCGCTAGTAGGTTGGAGGCCATCGCTAGTAGGTTGGAGGGCATGGCTAGTAGGTTGGAGGTCATTGCTAGTAGATTGGTGGCCATCGCTACTAGGTTGTAGGCCATGGCTTTAGGGGGGAGGTCGCTTCGTCCAAGACCAGAACCCATCATCGTTCGCCTTTTTTTCTCTGAACGATTACGCGTGTTGAACAGTGCTGCTGGTGGTGTCCTGCCTTTGCGTGGATTTCACTCCGGGGTTTATTTGCAGCTTGCGTTGCCGTAGTTGGCGTTGCTACTGTAGTTGTTGCAAGAGTAGCAGCAGCTGAGGCACATGCTTGCGGTCCGCAGTGGGTGTCTGGTGAGGCAATGGTGGCATGATTTGTTTCCTCAACAGCTACACCCGTTTGAGCAGTCCAGGAATGCGCGTTTCGCATTTGGGCCCCTCATGGAGAGGATGTAGCCACTTGGCAGTCTAAAGATGTCTAAAGTCTAAAGCGTTGAGCATATCGGAGCAGTGCGTGTTAGCCACACAGTTGCATTTGTCTTGCAACATCTATGGCCACACCTCTCTCTTTCAGGTTGTGGAGCTCCAAAGAGAAAAAGGTGGGGAAATTAGTAATGTTACCCTGATGTGGACGGTTCATGGAATTTTACCATTCAAACATATGATAGCGCAAAACAAAAAAACAAATATATAACATTATATAACTCTATGTATACTTTAAAATCGTGGGACCTGTGTTGTTGTTTTGATGCAACTAGCATTGCACCAGGCATTTGTTCCATTCACGAAAGACGCCCTCATGAACACAAGATGTTTGTTGGCGAAACTGCATGGCACAGCGACATTCAAGACATCGCTTCCGGAAACCACAGCAGAATCTTCTTTTCTGAATATTACGAAAGCCAGCCGATAGGCTAGGCTTGAGCTCTTAGAGCGAACGAAGTGAGTTAAGGGGTGTGGGGGGGGGGGAGGCCGCGAAAAGGCACCATTTGAGAGGGTGAAGCCGGAGCTTGCTGGGGGAGAGCGCTCCAAAGCGAGGGTCAGAAAAGCAATGAAAATGGGGTCTGGTGATGCGAGTGATGCAATGGACGCCGAGTAGTGAAGGGGTCTGGAGACAATTTTTCTAGTCCTGAGCAGGGCATAGGGACTGTGTAGGTTTGATCATACCAAGAAGGACCTAGCAACAAAGAGTGAACGCTCTGGGAGCGAACGATGTGAGCATGTCCAGTTGGGCGAGGAAGAGGCTTGCGGATAAGAGCGCCGCAAGAGGAGAAGCAAGAAAGCTGCAAGCGTTCAACAGTTCATGCCGTGCTCCGATCTTGATCTCAGTCGCAGTGATACCAGCTCCACGAAACTACAAGGTGCTCTGCTATTTTTTCCTCCCAGCCCTGCTCTCTATAGGGCTTCGCATTGATGCACGATACCCGAAACACATTTCAACACAACCACAAAAACCATTTCGGGCATCATTCTCCTGGTGTTTACTGACGTTATTTTTACACGGATTCTCAAATAGAACACCAACAAGGGACGCTCCAGAAGGCGCCGCACCAAGCAAATCAAGAATACTGACTAAAAACATTCAACACTTCATGCTGTACTCCGATCTTCATCTACCTCGCAGTGATACCAGCTCCACGAAAACTACAACCAGCCCTGCTCTTTATAGTGCTTCGCATTGATGCACGATGCCCGAAACATTTCAAAACAACAAAACAACCTTTCGGGCATCCTTCTCCTGGTTTCACCGACGTTTATTTTTACACGGATTCTCAAGTAGACCACCAAACAGGGCCGCTCCAGAGAGCACCGCGCCAGGAAAATCGAGAAAACCTAAAACATTCAACGCTTCATGCTGTGCTCCGATCTTGATCTACTCCACGTTGATACAAGCTCCACGAAAGCTACAGGCATTCCGCACTAAGTGCTACGCTATTTTGTCCTCCCAGTCTTGCACTATCATATTGGTCTCTCGCTGGCTTTCGTTCTCTCCTCTCAAGTGACTTGCTTTCCTGACGCAGTCCTTTGCGCGGCCTGCTGTTCCATGTTGCAATGCAACCGCAAGCCCAAAGCAGCCCACCGCTAACCACGCCACTGCCTTTTGCAACGTGCAGTGCTAAACAATTGATTTGTCATGCATCAAGCTGACAATTCTGTCGTCCCAAATGCGTCCCGCAAACATCACATCGCGGAGGGTACTTTGGCGCTTCGGCTCATAAGGCCTTTGCTATAGCAACAAAGGACACTACTAGGGGCTCCAGACCATACTACTAGGAACGAGAAGCTACTAGTAACAAGGGCATTACTACTAGTAGCAAAGAATACGCAGAGGCAGATGAGGGCCCTGCGATGGGGGCCTTGTTAAAGGGGTCCTGACCATTGTTTCTCATTTTTGTGCCACATACGAAACACATCCGTGACGCCAACCTACATACTCCCCCAAGTTTATACTTTAATTTGATGTGTGATATATAATGTATCAGATTCAGATTGCACCCTTTTTAAAGCTGGTTATGGTGACATTTAGTGTTATCAGAGCAATCGTTGCAGGGGACCCGCAGGAGGCCTGGTGCAAATGCCAGCATGTTTGTGGACTTTGCTGCCGACGTGTGCATTAGATTCAAGAAGTACCTTTATGCCGAATCTTGAGGTTCGACTTGTTCGTGAAGGTGATTTCTGGGTGGGTCAATCGGCTTGCTCACCAGGCGACCGATACAGGAGCAGCACACATGGCAAACAGATTTTCAACGGTGACGAACATTGCAGGATTGGATGTGCCGTTGGTATCTGGTGGTAGCGTTTTGTGTTTTCCACGTTTGGCATTCAGTCAAGAATCCCCAAGTGAAGAAGCCAAGACCATCTCCCCCAAAACAACATGGAGGCCATGGATTTGAAGCGAATTGTGGCAATTGGCATGCTACCAAATAGCACTGGGAGAGTGTTGTCATGAAGGGGCTGCTAATGGCTCAACAAGACTCAAGCCTTGACAAACAGCGCTCTTGTTCACAGAATCATTCTTGTTAAACATGCTAAGGTCCTAAGACCTAAAACACTACATAATTTAGACCGTTTGCTTTCTGGACCCGAGTTATTGCAAGGAACACATGCCGTGTCTAATGAGACTTACAAATGCTCGAGGAGTACGAAAGTGTATATAGTAGCCTTTATACTGTCCAGTGAGGGTATACAGCTATGAAGAGTTCAGCTATGTTGAGCTGATTCTACACAAAGGCACATAGGGACGTCAGTTCCTTTTGAGAAACACCTGAAGCTTTGCAAAGGCCATCTTGACAGGTCATTGAGGATTTAGCACGTAGACTATTAGCAGACTTCCTATGGAGGGCATCGCTAGTAGGTTGGAGGCCATCGCTACTAGGTTGGAGCCCATTGCTACTATGTTGCAGGCCATTGCTACTAGGTTGGAGGCCATTGCTATCAGGTTCCTTAAAGTCCATTAATGTGCTTCTTGTGCAAGCAATCCCATTTCCACAGGTGACTCAACGCCTCTCTTCCAACCTTCCGGAACCTCATAACTGTTGTGTTGGATTTCAGTTTTCAGGTTTGAACAGGAAAAAACTTGCACAGTCATGCCGTCACCTTTGCAGGATAGCCATGGGTTCCAGCTGGAATGATTGCTTCAACCAGGAGACGTTTGCCAATCTCAGCGTCTCCTGAAGTTTTGGGCCGACAAGTTCTTTACATCCGTTATTACGCCGTACTTTCATGCACACGACAAATGAGAGGCCGCTCATCCAAAATTCAGTTGGCAAACAACAACAGTTTTTTCATGTGTACAGTATATATACAAAATCTGAAAGCAGAGCCAACATCCTCAGCAACCACCTCAACAATGGCCGCTTTGATTGGGTCAAGAATCAGAAGCGCTCCTGGTACCAACAAAGTGACAGCAGTCACGGCCTTTGCGCTTTGTGCTCGGGGATGAGGAGGAACGGAAGGGAAGTAGGAGGAAAGACACATAACGTAATCAACTTCTCAACTGTCCTGTCCGTTTGGCACAGCGTTGTTTTGGACATTTTTCTTTGAATACCCTTCGCACGTTTGATGTGGTTCCTAGGTCGTTCGGGAATCTTGCTAAAATACCTCAGTAACTGTTGAAGAGAAAAAACATGAGGGCGTACATGCCGATACCGATGCCAAACATTTTCATTTTGAGTTGAAGAACGCTTTCCACCACAATGAGACATGCAAGCGTTCTCCGATTCTTGGGATTGCATTGCTTGAAAAGCGGCGTGCACTCATTAGGAGGGAGCTCGCCTGTTTCGACGGGACCCATGTGCTCGTGAATGTGACTTCAACTCGGCATGGTTTGGGGGCCAATTGCTCAAGAGTAGCATTCGCTTACATGAGAGGCATGTAGAGGCCTCACCGGGATTCTTAGGTTGGAGGCCAGCGCTAGCAGGTTGGAGGCTTTTGCTTCTAGGTTGGAGGCCATCGCTCTTAGGTGGGAGGCCATCGCTAGTAGGTTGGAGACCATTGCTGTCAGAAGAAAGGCATGTAGAGGCTTCACAACTTACTCAGGTGCATTCTTCATCCGCCGCTCAAGCCTCCACCCCCCTTTGCAGCACCGAATTTCAACGAGCTGGTTGTGTATGAGCTTCATGTCCTTTGGCTGAAAGGGTTTGCAACTACGAGTTGTCATCATTGCCCTGATCACTCATGTGCACTAAGATTGGAAGCTTTGTCTCTGAAGCAGATGAAAGCCTGAACCTAAGGCATGTTTTGACGACACAGTTGCAACGTCATAATTAGTCTGAAAAGTCTGGCGACAAACTACCCGAAATCGCATGGATTACATAGTAGCTTCTTGCATTTTCTTGCTACTAGTACGCAGTGTCAGTGTGAACGCTAGAATCCCTCAAAGGGTTCAACCGTGGCAGCATGTGGCAGCGTTGAGCGAACTAAGAACGAGCCTTTGCTGCTACCACCGAGAAGCTGGAGCACATTTCTTCACTAGGCACTTGTTCCTAGTAGCGTTCTTGTTACTACTACTAAGGCACTTGTTACTAGAAGCGATGCACTTGTTTCTAATAGTTTCTTTCTTCTTTTAGCCCTGGTGGGGTAGGCCGCTAAGAGGAAGAGGTAGCTACTAAGCTTCTAGGGATGCAGGCCGCTAAGAGGAAGAGGAAGAGGCCGCTAAGAGGTACCTTACTTAAGCTACTAGAATGGACGCAGGATAGCTCACGCTAATGATTTGGTTTCTAGATGTTCTAGAGGAACTTAATAGCAATGCCCTCCAACCTAATAGCGATGGCCTGCAAGTTTAATCAAGTTGCCAAAGAATCGACTTCAATAAAGGTCCTAGTAGCTTCTTGATTCAATTCTAAATAGATTCTAATTAAACTTAAAGTGCATTCTAATTCGTGTTTTTTAATAGCTTCTTGTTAATAGTAGTAAGGCCAGGAGCCCCTGGTAGCTTCTTGTTCCTAGTAGCGATGCCAGGAGCCCCTAGTAGCGTCCTTGCTCCTAGAATCAAGTTTCCAAAGAATCGACTTCATTCCAGATAGATTTGCTGCCACAGTGACATGCACAGGTTTCAATTGCATTCAATTTATGCCGACAGCCCATGGCTCAGGTCATGTTATGTCATGTTTGTTTGATCAGACTAGAGCTTCCTGCTTCTCTTGCATGAGTCAGCAGGCCATATAGCTCAAGTCGATTACTAATTCTTGGTAGGGATGCTGCTGAATTCGGCCACCTATTGCTCTTAGTAGCGTCCTTGCTCCTAGTAGCGATGCCAGGAGCCCCTAGTAGCGTCCTTGCTCCTAGTAATACGGCCAGGAGCCCCCTAGTAGCTTCTTTTTAAGTGCAAAAGCATGGTTGTATCCTGCCCCCGCATTGCAACAAGGCCGAATTTGGCGGCATTTGGGGGTACAACTCTCGGCAGCTTTTAGCTACGAGCGGACCTTAGCGAAACGAACTGAAATGCGGTGATTGCTTGATGCCAAAGTGTCCTACGTGAGTGATGACAAGATATGAATGAAGGTAGTGGAATGCGTCAATGTAGTAGACAGCAGCTACCTACTATACTAAACTGGGAGCAGTTAGAATTGCAAGCCTTGACATAGTTAGAATAGGACTGGCAGAACATGCACTCCTGTTGATCGAATGTTGAAGTACATAATATAAACAACCAAGAAAGAGTGAGAGGAGGAAGCAACAAAAACGTTCAAAGCACGAGATGAATCAACATCAAAACAGGAAACTAAATCATATAACTAGATTCAACAGGAACCCAGCCTAATGCTAATTGTAGAGTGTTGGCTTTGGCTGCTACTTATATAAGTTCTTTTTTGCAACAAGGGCACCCTTCAATAAATTGTTTCTCCTATCATCGTACATTTCTCAATGAGTTTGCTTCCAATGTTGTTTTGGCAAGCTTCAGGCATGGGCCTTGGGGCTCAGCAGCGGACATGCGAATCATGGTTGAGCGGGCGCTAGATGCTCAGCATGTTGATGATGCCCAAGGTGTAATTTGAAGACTCTAAGCCAAAAAGAATGTGCACTTGAAAAAGACACTACATATAGACTTTTTTCAACCACGTGCTCCTGCAAGCAGTAGCACGAGGTATTTGTTAAGTTTAAGACCTAGCGAGCCAATGTGATGTCAACGGTTTGTGAAAGATGCGTGGGCCAGCGGCAGGTCTCAAGATGATCCTTTGATTTTTTTGAACTTTGGTTCTGATTGGATGCTTGCAGCATCTTGCGGCAAAGCATTTTTGCATGATTCCACATCGTCTCAGTGCTTTCTTCCAGTGGGCCGAGGCACAGCCTTGGCATGGCGGTGCTTTTCGATGTGGTGTTGAATCATGGTGACTCACCAGAACTTGTGTATTTGTTCCTATCCGCATGCGTTTCCAAAAACCTTACCATTCAAAGCCGAAGACTTAAGACATGCAACAGCTCCCATGGAGCTCCTCTTGTTCTGCTTGCCCCGCGGGGATCTGGTGTGAGAGAGTCAAACGGCATTCCTACTTCATAGTGATTCATAGTTTTCACATTTTTGTAATGTGCACCTATGTCAAGTCAATGATTTGTCACAACCGTGGCACTGTATTGAATATCAAGTGAAGATTGTCTTACCCATGCTTTCCAGTACGGCTGTTCACGCTGTTCTTTCTGGCTTTCCCAGTCGGAATGACTGCTTTGGAGAACCTGGCAAGGCAAGTTGCACCAACTGCCAAGTTTCCACAAAATCACCTGGTTCGGCCGTGATTCAACTGCACAGCAGCAACACAAAGTATGCCTGAAAACAATATAATTCAGCTGCACCAGGACAATTCTTCTCAATATGCGACACGTAGCCAGATTACAATTGATGAATGATTCTTAGTTTGCATGCCTTCAGGTCAGAGTGATAAAAGACCAATCTACAATACGGCCTGTTATCAAGCAACCAGACGTCTTGCATAATCCTCACGCAACTCCCTTGCCGGTGCAGTAGATAGAGGAATTATATACTGTAATCTGTAATCAAACTTCTCAGCAGAACCCCCGGGCTGACGAACCTAAGAGCTTAGCCCAATGGAAAGAAAACGAAACCCACAGGGAGTTTGTGGAGCGACAACTTAACATTGAAATCGGGATGATGCTGTATCAAAGCCGTTTGCAGGTGGGTTTCAATAAGTTGTCCTTAGTAGCAAGGTGCATCGCTACTAGTAGCAAGGACACTACTACTAGCTAAGTGCATTACTACTAGTAGCTAGAAGCTACTAGTAGGGATGCCCCTGCTACTAGTAGCTTCATCAAACAGCTTGATTTCAGAACTACCTTCCGGGATGCTCAGGCTCATCGAAGATGAACGTGCTGTGGAATTGGGATGGCTTCGGTGCTGGCCTGAGCTGGGAGTTGCCCAAATAACGATGTAAACAGCAAATAAACAACAGACCAAACAACTCCCCGGTATTCTGGTCATTTCTGGTCTCTTGGTGCACTGGTTTGGTCTTCTTCTTTGGTCCTTTTTCCGCTTATCATAGTGCTTTCTCGGTCTTTTGCTCCAAACGTGTTGTTCACTAGGCTTTTTAGAACCTGGCCTTCTTGGGGCATTTTGCAAGTTCCACGAGCATTTGCGAACGTTTTGGGCGCTTCGGATTGCGAATGCTTTCGAACCTTTCACAACAAAGCATCCTTCCTGGCTTTGTCGAACCTTTTGTCGGGATAAACACCTGAGAGGAAACAAGTTTGAGCGAAATGAAGGGACGGTGGAAGGACGTGGCAGCAAAATAGATCAGGGTGAATCAGAGGACATGTGCAATTCCTTTAGTGCGCTTTGGAATTTGGCGCTGTGTCCTCCCCGCAGGCCGCCCTAAAGCGCCACGAAATCTGCAATACTTCTTTCAAAATATTGCGCACACCACCACATGATGTCAACCTGCAGCGTGTCCCCCGGAAAATATTGCATTTCAAAGCCTTTTCTATTGTTTGTGTTTTTTATCGATTGTTTTTTCGATCGTTTTTCCATTGGTCCATGGTTCAGGTTGAAGCACATTTACATGTTCCCTTTTTGTCAACGCAGTGTTCGCTATTCATTCCTTTTGCCCTCAAGCCCCGCAAACTCTGAAAGTCGACAGTTACTACTAGTAAGGCACCTTGTTACTAGTAGCGATGCACCTTGTTCCTAGTAGCTTCTTGTTACTACTAGCAAGGCACTTGTTCCTACTAGTAAGGCACCTTGTTACTAGTAGCTTCTTGCTCCTAGTAGTAAGGCACTTGTTCCTAGTAGCAATGCACTTGTTTCTACTTCCCTGCCACTGATTGTTTGATTGACTTCTGAACATCGGTGCCTTTCGTTCTTTTTTCCCGAAAGCATTGCGAAGGGTTCTTCCGGAAAATCCTTTGAACACTGACACTTCGACACTTACACTTCGACACTCACACTTACACACACACACACTGGAAGAGCGAAAGCATCCAAGTGCGAAGTATGCCAGTGTCAAAGTATGCAAGTGTAAGTATGCAAGCATGATATGCAAGGGTGAGCATGCAAGCATGCAATGACTATGCAAGCATGCAATGAGTAGGCAAGTGTGAGTATGGAAAACTAGCACGGGAGATGTCCTAATGAAAAAACATTTCCCCACTTTATAAATTCTCTCTTAAAAGCGGAGTGCGGGACGAACAGCATCAACCGAAAGTGCAACCCTCTGCGGAGATCGTGCGTGTCGAGTGCGCGAAATGCAGGTGAGAGTGCGATTTGTCCGGTGTGCGCGCAACCCTCTGCGGAGATCGTGCGTGTCGAGTGCGCGAAATGCAGGCGAGAGTGCGATTCGCCGGGTGCCCGCGCAACCCTCTGCGGAGATCGTGCGTGTCGAGTGCGCGAAATGCAGGCGAGAGTGCGGTTCGCCGGGTGCCCGCGCAACCCTCTGCGGAGATCGTGCGTGTCGAGTGCGCGAAATGCAGGCGAGAGTGCGATTTGTCCGGTCCGCGCGCAACCCTCTGCGGAGAACTGGCGACTTTGTAGTACAACTTTAGTACGCGGAGTATCTGGGGAGCTGGAAGATGAGAACTGGCGACTTTGTAGTACAACTTTAGTACGCGGAGTATCTGGGGAGCTGGAAGATGAGAACTGG